CCATTCCTATTCTTACAAATTAGTGGAAGTACACACTCCCTTGTTATGGTATCATTACAACATGAGCAAACAAGAACCACAGCTTTACTAAGTATATAACTGGGAAGGTCATTGGAGAGCGGGAGAAAGGGAAATGTGTAATTGTTGATCTCAGGTTCATGATCAGGAGAAAAACTAGTAAGGAAAGAAGCAGTGGAGGCTACTAACTATATAAATTCAAAGAAAAACACCACGGCAGAAATGCTGTACTACAAGGGCATCAGTTCTTGCAAGAAAAACACATTTATATGCAGAGCCACATCTTTTTATAGCTCCGACAATTACCATAGGTAATAAAAAAAGGCTTGGTGAAATTTAGTGCACATCAAATTATTGTCACTGAAGTCTATGAGTAGCGAACTGTTGTGTTATGTGTCAAGTTTCCCTGACCTTTTTCTCCACACTATCACGTGGGGCTCCGCTCTAACACAAACCATACCACTTTATGTGTGGCGAAAACCGTATACGTGTTTTTTAATGCACACATACTGTTTATACATCCAGCCCCTGCTTTCATTTTACCACATTGCACAAAATTTTCAAAGCAAAATGAACTTACAGCAGAGTCGTATAATCTAGAACAGTGAACCGCAGGGGAGCGTTTAAATCTTCGAGGACAGCTTGCTTACGTTTTTTCTATTTTCTCTGCAGTTATTGGTAGAAAGCCATTATTTTTCCAGGTGTTTTATCAAAGATGGTTTCATACAGATTTCTGCCAATGTTGTAAACTCTATCAACTAGTACTATAAAGCATAAGTAAGGATTTTACAGTGAAGCATACATTTTTAGAATGAATCAGTTCTCATGAATTTATTGTTAACTTGTAATCTGTATACTGTATCTTAACTGAGGTTATTTGTATTGTATCGATCTTTTGTGTTGACTAATAAAGAATCTATCATAAAAATGAATGCATTTTTTATGGATCTTTAGCTCCATCATCTGGTACTAACCTGTGATTACATTTGCTGTAACCAACTGTTTTTACCTACGCCAAGGAGGTTCCGTTTTTGGTAGCATTTTGTGTATTTGTGCGGATTTTGTTTTGAATTAATTCTGGTAAAACTTTGTAGGGGTGTAGTGAGGGTGTTAACAAGCCATTAAAAATTGTCTTACATCCACCAAAGTCTTTAAATGGTAAATGGCCTGTATTTGTATAGTGCTTTACTTGTCCCTAAGGACCCCAAAGCGCTTTACACATCTAGTCATCCACCCATTCACACACTGGTGATGGC